TGATGGGTCTTGACTCTTCATCCAATTTGCCAGTCTGTGTCTTTTAATTTGGGCATGTAGCCTGTTTACATTTAAAGTTAATATTGTTGTTTTTGTTTGTTTGTTTTTTTTTTTTGAGATGGAGTTTCGCTCTTGTTACCTAGGCTGGAGTACAATGGTGCGATCTCAGCTCACTGCAACCTCTGCCCCCTGGGTTCAGGCAATTCTCCTGCCTCAGCCTCCTGAGTAGCTGGGATTACAGGCATGCACCTCCGTGCCCAGCTAATTTTTTGTAATTTTTAGTAGAGATGGGGTTTCACCATAAGGTTAATATTGTTACATGTGAATTTGATCCTGTCATTATGATGCTAGCTGGTTATTTTGACCATTAGTTGATGCATTTTCTTCGTAGTGTTGGTGGTCTCTACAATTTGGTATGCTTTTATAGTGGCTGGTACTGGTTTTTCCTTTGTATATTTAGTACTTCCTTCAGGAGTTCTTGTAAGGCAGGCCTGGTGGTGATAAAATTTCAGCATTTGCTTGTCCATAAAAGATTTTCTTTACGCTTATGAAGCTTAGTTTGACTGGATATGCAATTTTGGGTTGAACATTCTTTTCTTTAACAATGTTGAATATGGCCCTAACTCTCTTCTGGCTTGTAGGGTTTCTGCCGAGAGATCTGCTGGGAGTCTGATGGGCTTCCCTTTGTGGGGAAGCCCTTCTCTTTGGCTGCCCTTATCATTTTTTCCTTCATTTCAATCTTGGTGAATCTGATGATTACATGTCTTGGGGTTGCTCTTCTTAAGGAGTATCTTTGTGGTGTTCCCTGTATTTCCTGAATTTGAATGTTAGCCTGTCTTGCTAGGTTGGGGAAGTTCTCCTGGATAATATGCTGAAGAGTGTTTTCCAGCTTGATCCAGTTCTCTCCATCACTTTCAGGTTCGCCAATCAAACATAGGTTCAGTCTTCTCATATAGTCCCATAATTTTGGAGGCTTTGTTTGTTCCTTTTCATTTTTTTTCTCTAATCTTGCCTTCATGCTTTATTTCATTAAGTTGATCTTCATTCTCTGATATCCTTTCTTCTGCTTGATCAATTCAGCTATTGATACTTGTGTATGCTTCACGAAGTTCTTGTGCTGTGTTTTTTAGCTCCATCAGGTCATTTATGTTCTTCTCTAAACTGGTTATTCTAATCAGCAATTTCTCTAATCTTTTTTCAAGGTTCTTAGCTTCCTTGAATTGGGTTAGAATATGCTACTTTAGCCCAGAGGAGTTTGTCAGTACCCACCTTTTGAAGCCTACTTCTGCCAATTTGTCACACTCGTTCTCTGTCCAGTTTCGTTCCCTTGCTGGCGAGGAGTTGTGACCCTTTGGAGAAAAAGAGGTGTTCTTGTTTTTGGAATTTTCAGTCTTTTTGTGCTGGTTTTTCCTCATCTTCGTGGATTTATCTACGTTTGGTCTTGATGTTGGTGACCTTCGGGTTTTGACCCTCGGGTTTTTGTGTGTGGTGACCTCTGGATTTTGACCTTCGGGTGTTTGTGCGGACGTCCTTTTCGTTGATGTTGATGCTACTTGTTTGTTACTTTTCCTTCTAACAGCCAGGACCCTCTGCTGCAGGTCTGCTGGAGTTGGCACACTCCAGACCCTGTGTGCCTGGGTATATCACCAGCAAAGATTGCTGCCTGTTCCTTCCTCTAGAAGCTTCATGTCAGAGGGGCACCCACCAGATGCCAGCTGGAGCTCCCTGTAGGAGGTGTCTGTCGACCCCTGCTGGAAGGTGTCTCCCACCAGGGACCCACTTGAAGAGGCAGTCTGTCCCTTAGAGAGCTGAGAGCTGTGCTGGGAGGTCTGCTGCTCTCTTCAGAGCTGGCAGGCAGACATGTAAGTCTGCTGAAGCTGCCCCACAGCTGCCCCTTCTCCTGGGGCAGGTGCTCTGTCCCAGGGAGCTGGGAGTTTTATCTATACACCCCTGACTGGGGCTGTTGCCTTTCTTTCAGAGATGCTTTGCCCAGAAAGGAGAAATCTAGAGAGGCAGTCTGGCTCAGCGGCTTTGCCAAGCTGCATGGGCTCCACCCAGTTCCAACTTCCCAGTGGCTTGGTTTACACTGTGAGAGGAAAAGGGCCTACTCTAGTCTCAGTAATGGCAGATGTCCCTTCCCACCAAGCTCAAGCATCCAGGTCAACTTCAGACTGCTGTGCTGGCAGCAAGAATTTCAAGCCAGTGGATCTTAGCTTGCTGGGCTCCATGGGGGTGGGACCTGCTGAGCTAGACTACTTGGCTCCCTGGCTTCAGCCTCCTTTCCAGGGGAGTGAACAGTTCTGTCTTGCTGTTGTTCCAGGTGCCATTGGGGTATATATATATATATATGAACTCCTGCAGCTAGCTCAGCATCTGCCCAAATGGCCATCCAGCTTTGTGCTTGAAACCCAGGGCCCTGGAGGTGCAGGCACCTGACAGAATACCCTGGTCTGTGGGTTGCAAAGACTGTGGGAAAAGTATAGTATCTGGGCCGGAATGTACTGTTCCTCTCAGCACAGTCCCTCATAGCTTCCCTTGGCTAGGGGAGAGAATTCCTGGACCCCTTGCACTTCCTGGGTGAGGTGATGCCCCACCCTGCTTCTGCTTACCCGTTGTGGGCAGCACCCACTGTCTAACCAGTCCTAATGAGATGAGCTGGAGACCTCAGTTGGAAATGCAGAAATCACCCACCTTTTGCGTTGATCTCCCTGGGAGCTGCAGACAAGAGCTGTTCCTATTCGGCCACCTTGCCCATTTTTTTTTTTTCACTTGAGATGGAGTCTTGCTCTGTTGCCCAGGATGGAGTACAGTGGCATGATCTCGGCTCACTGCAACCTCTGCCTCCTAGGTTCAAGCAATGCTCTTGCCTCAGCCTCCTGAGTAACTGGGATTGCAGGAGCCTGCCACTACATCCAGCTAATTTTTGTATTTTTAGTAGAGACTGGGTTTCACCATGTTGGCCAGGCTGGTCTCAAACTCATGACCTCAAGTGATCTGCCTGTCTCAACCTCCCAAAGTGCTGGGATTACAAGCATGAGACACCACGCCCGGCCTCTAAATGGCATTTAAAGGTGAATTTATTATTTTAAAATAACTTATTTGCAACTACTCCTCTTTCCCACAGAACATTGTCTGGTAAGGTGGCTAGACATAAGAACCTAAGTGAATTAGAATTACTTTCTGAAAACTCATTGAAGATCTCTGTGTTACATTGGAGCTATTCAGGTGCATAATGAGACTTGGAAATCTCTGGCCTGTTTGAACTTTTGAAAGGCTTAAATTCCAGAGATGAGAGAGACATGTTTTTATAATGTTCTACATTTCTGCACCTGAGTGCTGATTTGGATGAATAGACTGTTGGCTTTACCTATAGGAACCTGGCTGCCTGAGTCAGCAACATCTGCTCTCTGAAGCCTACTGGGAGGCTAGGGGTGGGGGAGAGACCGTCTAGGCCACTGAGTGGGGCAGTAGAGCCTGGGGGTTAGGAGTGGTGAAAATCTGGCCACACTGAACATATGGGTGTCTTTTCAAGAAAGTGTGACATATGTGGGAGAAAATGGAGGCTAGAAGGGATGAGGAAGAGGTGGTCAGGGGAGTGACTGGCTTCTTGGGGCCGAAGTTCCCTGACAAAGGTTAGTTAGGGTGCACCTGTGTTTCTCCACTGCAACTACCCAAAATACTCCTGCAGACAACTCTTAAGAAATTCAGCACTTCTTTCAGAAAATCAAGCACCGCATGTTCTCACTCACAGGCAGGTGTTGAGCAATGAGAACACATGGACACGGGGTGGGGGGGCCATCACACACACGGGTCTGTGTGGGGAAACTAGGGGAGGGACAGTGGGGGATGGGGAGTTGGGGAGGGATAATATGGGGAGAAATGCCAGATATAGGTGATGGGGAGGAAGGCAGCGAACCACATTGCCATGTATGTACCTACGCAACAATCTTGCATGTTCTTCACATTTACCCCAAAACCTAAAATGCAATAAAATATATATTTAAAGAAAAAAAAAGAAATTCGGCACTTCATTATACACTGCTTCCACTGGAAAGTCCTGCCTGGAATGGAGATGATCCGTGAGGAGCCCTAATGCTACCAACACAATACAACTAAGAAAAGTGCAAATATTCCTGAAAAGCGTTGCCAACTGTTTTGTAACACTCACCACAATCCTGCAAGGCGGGCATCGGCATTCTCTCCACTTTTCAGACAGAGAAACAAAGGCTCAGAGAGGGAAGTGTACCTGGTTGGAATCTGCACTGAAGCTTCAGCCACCTGCTTGCAGAGATGTGCTCATCTAGCAGTTTCTGAGAGCCTGCTCTGATAGGGGACGGGAGAGGAGAGGCTTGCTGTGGTGGTTTGTAGGTTTGTAGGGTGCGTGTATGAGCCTGTGTGTTTGGGTGTGAGCGCACGTGTGGCTATTTGTGGAGTCATTTAATGAGTTATTTCCAGGGCTCCATGTGTGTTTAAGTGTGTGTATATGGGTTGAGATGTGGTGTATATGGACATTTGTGAGTCAGTTCTTGGAATGTGCGTATATGAGTGTGTTGAGTGGGGTTGGGGGATTAATCCCTGAGCCGTGTGAATATGTGGGTTGGGGCGCTGCTGAGGGCAAATGGACTTGAATTTTGTGTATGATTGTGTGTGTGTGTGCGTATGTGCTTGAGATTCCAGATATGTTGGAGGGTGGGTCTCGGGGTGGGGGGAGACCAATCCCTGGACCTTGTGTTAATAGTGCCCATATCTGCCCCAAAGAGGGTGGGTTACTGGGCTGTGCTGTCTGTGTAGAGTGTGAGTGTGTGTATGAGGGTGAATGTGTGTGTGGAGTGTCATTCCCCGGGTCCTGTGCACGAGTGTGACAGTGCACGCCTCCGTGTGTGTCCCGGGTGTGTGGGGTCGGGGCGGTGACCAAGGGAGGGGGACGCCCGCGGACCGGGCCCCGCCCTGCGCTGCAGGTGGGCCGGGCCCGCGGCGGGGCCGGCAGCGCTCGCTGCTCTTGGCTCGCGGCCGCGCCGGGCTCGCAGGGCTGGGCTCGGGCTGCGGGGCGGCGCCGGGACAGGAAGCGGAAAGCAGCAGTGCAGCGGCGGCGGCGGGGCTCTGCCTCTCCAGGAGCCCAGCGCAGGCCGCAGAGCCGGGGCCGCTGTGAGCCAAGACCGCGGGCCGCGGAGCCCGGGCGGCCGGCGCGGAGGTGAGTCCCGCGAGAGACCCACGCGGCGCGGCGGCGGCGGCCCCGCGGACAGACCTTTGGCAGGGAGACGCCCCCACCCGGGACCCCGCGTGCCCCTGCGCCCTCCTCCCGCACTCGCCCCTCCAGACTTCGACCCCGGGTCTCCGGCTCCCGCTTCAGCCAGCGAGCTCCCTTCCCTCCTGCGGAGCGCTCCGGGTCGCGCTTCCTCCGACTCCACTCTTCCCCGCGCAGTGCGCCCCTCCTGGCTCTGCCGTGCGATCCCCGCCGCGCCCCAGTCCCTGGGGTCCCGGGGTGCCCTGCTCACGCCTCGGACGCCCCTCTCTCCCCTGCCCGGCCTTTGGGTGCGCCCCTCGGGTGCGCGTGCCGGGGCGGCGGGCAGGCCGGCAGGGAGTGGCCGAGCGTTGGAGGCACCGGGCGGCTGCAGCAGCCGTGCAGGGCGGGAGCCGGGCGCGCACCCGGGTTCCCACCCCCGGAGGGGCTCGACCCGGGCACCGACTGGCCCTTCGCCAGGAACCGGGACAGAACTGGTCTGTGTGCACGCCTCGCTCACAAAAAATTGAGCCGGCCCTGGAGGCCTGGGGGGCGAGTCCGGTTGCGCCTCGGAGAGAGCAACAGGCAGGTAGGAGTTTACTTTCAAAAACGCCGGGGTGGAGCCGAGGCGCCCGGCGGGTCTCTGCCCAAGGTGTCCCTGCTGGAGGAAATCTCACCGCGCCGGGGCAGCCTTCGCCACCGGCAGGGTTTCATTTCCTTCTGCAGCCTTTGAACTGCCCAAGCATCCCGCCTGGAGAAGTGTGAAGCTTTATTAAAATTTAAACGCGTCCGTGGTGGCGGCAGGAGTGGGGCGGAGCCGCGGCCTGGCTGCTGGATGATGAGCAGATGAGACTTGGAGTCGAGAAATCTGTTGCTCAGTTTTCACTTCTCCAAACCAGGTGTAATGCCCACCCTGCGAAGGCGTCGTGAGCGCCCTTAGACGCTGCTTAGGAAGTATTGGAGCGCCTTACGATGGTGATTGTGTGGGTGGCCAGTGCATTTTGTTAAAACTCTTGCCCTGGCTTTGGTTAGAAATGAATGTATCTTAGACTCTTAGTTTAAAAGCTAACAAACTGTGAAGAATCTGGCATTTTCACTGACATGTTTATAAATTTTACAGGGTTGCTGAAAAATATTATTACTTATATCACCAATCAACAATGATAATTAGCATTCTCCTTTCAGTGGGTGGGTTGAGTACACAGCTCCCAGGCTCTGTAAATGAGATGGCAGAAATTGCCTGAATACAGGGAGAGGTAATTAGCCATTTTCTGTAACCACTAATTACAGAGTTTTTAGAGTTGAATTAAATCGATGTGATATAGTTGGGGCTTTGATTTGTGGGAGGAAACTGTTTCTTTTTCCAGTTCAAAGAAATAACACGCTTCACCTATCCGTGAGCATTAAACATTCCGAAACGTTGCTGTCTCTGTGTAATTAGTGAAAACACTCTGGGTGAAAGTTCACTGTTAACAATGTTGGCAGTGAGGCTTGCTTGCAACTGCATTTGTAAGTAAAATGGGAGAAGAATTTTGAGAGTGACATATTTGTAAAGACTACTTGCCAAGCAGTACATTCTTATTGTCTTATGTATGAAGTAACAGGACAAAACCATAAAGGAAATTTAAAGTTTCTTTACCAAGCACCAATTCCATGTCACCCTTTGTTGAAGGATAAATGTGCTGAATGAAGAAGGCATCCTCCTTGTTATCATCCCCTTAACACACACACACACACACACACACACACACACCGTTCTTGCTGTCCTAGGCTTTATCACCTATTTGGGTGGGATGGGCCCTTATCACATTATGTTTTAATTGCAGGTCTCCACACTGGGGCTGTGAGCTCCTTAGGAGTTGGAACTATTTTAGATTCATTTCTTTTCTTTTGAGTGCCCCACAATGCTTGGGACACAGAACCTGTGAGTAGAAGTTGAAATTGCAAAATTATTTGTGGGGTTATATGTAGTTTGGGACAATTTATGATTGTTGCTTATACTCCTCTATAGAAATAAGCCATTCTGGTAATTGCTGCAATGCTGTAAATTTTCTGTAGCTAAGAGCACAGGTTCTGGAGTTAGACTCTCATCGTTCAAGCCCTGGCTCCAGTGTGTCGGTTTGGTTTCCCTAACTAACATGATACTAATGTTTTCTTTTCCTTGAAGTCTTGTGATGAGGATTAAGCGAGATATTACATGTGAGTGACTTAAAACAGCATCCAACACATAGTAAACACTTGACAACCATAAACTGTTAGACTATTACCATCATCTCGGTAAAGTCAGCTAGCTGGTTAGGGTCTTGTTGTATAGGGCATGTGATTTGGGCATCGTGCTATTCTATTTTCCTTAAGATGGACAAAATGAGGTGGGCTTGTAATTGGACTGTGTTTCTGTTAGCATATTGGTCCCTCTGAAATTTGGTGCAAGGCTATATGTGGGTTCTGCTGTCTCTAGCAGTGTCCTTTTGAATCCCACTATAGAAACAGCAGTGATTAGACCCCATACCATCAAATTTACAGAGGAGGTAGTACTCACGAGATCTATTTTTCTGAAGTTTGAGTATCTGGCAGGGGACAAGGGAGTCACTTGCAAACAAATATACATCACAGAACTGCAGATGTGTTAACAATTCACAGCTCTTCAGAAATCTGTACCCAGCTGCTGGAGGTGTTTCAGGGTAATTAATGACTGGAGAGAGAAGTGATTCTGGCAAGGTGAGTTGAACTCATTGGTGAAACAAGTAAAACGAAGTAGATATTTTCTTTCCTTGTAAATAATGACCCAGAATCATTCATTTATAAGCTGTTGTAATAAAAGAATCACTGGGTTTGTCACAAATGCCATAAGCTCAGCGGATCCTCACATCAGTGACCTGCATGATGTTTGATGGTTTATAGACAGAAGTTCAAAATGTTTTATAGATCTTGCCCTGCATCTCTGCCCCTCCTTTTCAGCCCCAAGCCCCTCCAAATAAACCCACTAAAACACACACAGTTTTCTCTGGTCTCTCCAACATTTGCTTTCAACCTGGGGATGGTAAATAGAGGCCTGTAAGGAACAGAATAGAAATCACTTGTTGCTTAGCTATAGTTTATAGTAGTAAAGGTGGTAGCAGAGACCAGAAAAATGGTATATTTTTGGTACAAATGATACGGAAGTTATATGCCATGCAACCCCTTCAGTTCTTCCTAACTGGACAAATTTCAAATTTCCTGGTAGTGAATACGAGTAGTAGCTGACAGTTGTGAGTGCCTACCATGTGCTGGGCACTGTTCTAGTAATTTTTATGAATTTTCTTATCTAATGCCCACCACAGACCTATAATGTAAGTAAAATAAAATTTGTTATTACAGTTAGGGAAACCGAGGCAAGGAGCAGTTAAGTAACTTGCTCTGAGGTCACACAGCTAAGCCAGGATTTTAATGCTCTTAACTCCACAATCTGGGCTTATTGCTACTCTCTAGAATAGTTGACTCTAAACAAAATTATTTCAATTGTCACATTCCCCTTGAGTGCTATTTAATTAAAAATGGGCACCCCTAAGAAGAATGTTAGTTTCAAGACATAATATAAATAATAATAGCATAAACCCTGTAGAATTCTATATAATAATCAAATATTCAAAGTAATGTACACGGTGTATATAAGCATGGTTGTACCAGATGCCACTTTCCCTTGGAAATAGATCTACTGCAGAGGAAGCAAAATGTCTGTTTAAATTCAGTGTGTGTCTCTGTACCCCTTACAGAGTAACTTTCCAAACCAGAGCTCCCTTAATTCCTTAATAGCTGTAGGCAGAGCTGTTGATGTTTTTATAATTTCCTTTTTGCGAAGGTTAGCTTATGTTTACCACTGTCATTATCATAACATATTATTTCCTTCACACAATTTGCTAAACACTGTGTTTTCGTTTTAAGTAGTAGGATTTTTATATGAGTGAACACGACTTTAGGGGAGAATTCTGTTTGAGGCTGCCAGTCTTCATTTTGCTTTTAATGACGGATGGTAAAGGAGGTTCTTTCTGACATTTTTGCCTAGGAAGTCCAGAGTTGAGGACACAGCCCCTCGGAAACACCCTGTGCGCCTGTCTTCCAGGGTTGACCTTGCCTGCGTGTGATGTGGTTTGATGAGCGTGGCCCTGTCCTGATGTTTGCTTCTAGCTCCAACCCAAGCAATGCCAAGCAATGCACTCTGAAGGGGTGGGTGACAGGTGAGGTGGGATGCTCTTGAGCAGTGGCTGAAAGAGGCTGCTGCTGCTTTTTACTCAGTGTGTCTGCAGTATGACCTCTGCCCCCTGAGGGGGGCTGCCATGCGAGCCAGTAGGATAGCTCTGGTTTTTGATAGTTCCGGTATCACTGCTCTATCTAATATCTGCATCTTTTTTTTAATCACCTCTAAAACTAAGGATTTAAAATAGATAATTTCTTTTTTTTTTTGAGATGGAGTTTTACTCATGTTGCCCAAACTGGAGTGTAATGGCACCAATCTGATCTCGGCTCACTGCGACCGCTGCCTCCTGAGTTGAAATGATTCTCAAGTCTCAGCCTCCCGAGTAGCTGGGATTACACGCATGTGCCACCATGACCAGCTAATTTTGTATTTGAAGTAGAGCAGGGTTTTCTCCATGTTGGTCAGGCTGGTCTCAAATTCCCCACCTCAGGTGATCTGCCCGCCTTGGCCTCCCAAAGTGCTGGGATTACAGGTGTGAGACACTGCACATGGCCTAAAATAGATAATTTCTGAAGTTTCTTCCACAGTGAATCTATGGCCTCAAGTCCTAAAATATGCCACAAAACCCTTCATTCAGCATACCTTCATAGGTACTCCTAGGTACCCATAATGTCCTAGGAGCTGGAGAGACAGTCGTGAAAGTCACTCTGTCCTCGTGGCGCTTACAGCCTGCAGAGGATCTAGACAGTAAGTGATCACACAAACAAATGTATAACTGGAAATTGGATAGAAAGGAAGAGTACAGGGCGCTAGAGAAGAGCCTGATCGAGACTAGAGCATCAGGGAAGGCCTCTTGAAAGGAGCAGTGTTTAAATTGAGGACTGATGAGCAGGAATTTGGCAAAACAGGGCATGTACAAGGTGAGTACCAGCAGATACTCTGGGCTCTGCCAAAGCCCTAAGCCTCCACCTTAAAGGAGCTGGAGCTGGAGGAGGAGGAGGGAGCTGGAGCACGGGCAGGACATTGCATACCAAATGAAAGAGTTTGTATTGTGTTTAAAGTGCAGTAGGACACATGGAAAGGTTTTAAACAGGGAAGTAAAGTCTGCACTGTAATTTAAAAGGTCATTCTGGCTGCTGTCCAACCTGGGCCAAACACAAGATGAGTCGTGTCAGGGATCAGTATGATAGACAGTTCCAGGTTCTGGGAGCCATATTCCCACCTTTATGTGACTGTCCCATTCATGTTAGTGTGACAGCCTATCAGATTATTACCCTGGGAACCTGACTCCTTTTCATTGCTTTATTATCCTTTCTGATAAGGGATTCCTTCTGCCCTTATCATGAGTCTTGTTAACTTCTTGTGTATGCAAGGGAACTATCTCCTAGATATATCATTGCAGTGATAAGCTTCAGGATATCCTTTTCTATTAAGTCTATTGCAGTTCTTACCTTGGCTCAGACTCTGTTAAAATGAGTTCACTTTGGATTCTATCAGTTTGCCTTTGATTGCATCTCCTTAATCCTCACTCGGACCTTGGAAAGGGTAAGAGTTGGAAACTGTTAGAAATGGTATCACTTAGAAGGGGCCTGAGCTGTGTAGACTGGATGGGGTGAGGATACCTGGAGGCTTTGTAGTGGTCTAGCCCCATGTAGGTGGAGCCCGGAGGAAGTGGGTGGCTGTGAATTAGTAGAGTGAAGGGGGAGGATCAGAGAGGGTGTTGAAGGCGGCACAGGATTGGATTCATAGGATGAGGGTATTTATTTAGTGAGAAATTGGGAAGAACAGGACAGGATACTGGAGAACACCTATGAGAGGGGTGATGGTATTCCCAAGGGGAGCGAGAGGAATCTCAGTAGGAAATATACACTTGGAATTTAGTCTTACAGTAAGTATTTGTTGGATACCAGTTATATTCAAAATATCCTGGGTGGAGACATAGCTGCTGTCTTCAGGAGTTTCTGCCACAGTAAATCTGTGGATGGAGAAGAATGAGGAGAGTTTGGAATGTCAAGGGATAAGGTAATGAGTGGGGAGGAAAGAGGGTGTTAGAGAAGTAGTAACATACTCACCGTCAAATTGGAGGCTGGCCAGCTGCAGAGAAGCCCTGTCAGGGCAGGCAGCATGCATTTGTCATTGCTGTGCCCTATGTCAAGGCCTAGCATGGCCTTGTAGCTGCCACTTATCTGGAAGTGGATGGACTCATACATGGAATAAGCACTGGGGGAGGAGGACAAGGATGCTGCTTGGCTCACAGCGATCCCTGGCCAACTTTGAGTTGTTTCAGTGGAGTGTTGTGGATGGGGATTTGGAGTGACAGTGGAGAAGGAGGGAGTGACAGCATGTGTAGACCACTCCTTTGGTAAGTACAGGCAGGAATCCTGGGAAGGAAACCGGAGGAAGGTTGTTGGTAGAGTTAGATAAGACTTTCCCTGGAGGGCAGTTGGGACCCATGGTTTCCTTTGAGGGACAGGCCTGGAGTTGTCTTAATGATTGGCCAAATGAGGACAGGGAATGAAGTCCTCGGGCAGAGGGGCAAGGAATAAAACTTGGGTTACCATGGGCCGGAGACTTTACCTTTGCAGTTGCACTTAATTCTTGTAAGAACCCTGGGAAGAGAGAATATTAAATGACCTCATTTTACAGGGCGGGGTTGGACAAGCTCAGAAAGGCAAACATCTGCCCCTGATGTCACAGCCAGGAAGCACCCAGCTGGATCTGCCCAGATCTGTGGGGCCTGGGCCGCCTGCCTCTGAGACACTCTAGCAGCATTTAGCAAAACGTAGCCAGAAGTTGAGATGGAATGGGGAATCCAGAGTTGTGGGTTGCAAGGCAGAAAGAGTATAGGAGTTGAGAAGGGTTCATTATGAATCTACAAAAGAGGGAATTTACTGTTCTGGACCAGGGAACTGGACATGAGAATCTGCAGATCAGCAGAGAGCTGGGTGAGGGGCTTTCAGTGAGGATCTCAATTCAGGCAGGGTTAGGTATCTTGGATGTACCTTCTAATGTTGATGTCTGCCTTTTGTGAAGCAGGTGAGAAAACAGCAAAGCCCAGGGCAGCAAGGAAGTGAGACTGAGGTGTTGAAAGCTGGTTGAAACTGCTAGTGAAAATGGTGGAGACAGTAGGGAGAAAAAAGATGACTCAGCTCTTGAAGTCTTCTAGGAAAGTAGGGTAAGTCCAGGAGCAAAACAGCATTTTTAAAAAGGCCTGCTGTGTTTGTTTTCACATCTAATCTTTACAGTTACCTCCCTCCCCTCTCCCCCATAATAGGCTGCCTTGCTTCCTTTTTATGGATTGGGAAATCTCTGAGGCTCCAGGGAGAAACTGCTTTACCCGGGTTTATAGCTAGTTAATAGGCTAACTAGTAGGGCTGAGATGCGAGCTCCCTTGTGTCTGACTGCTGGTGAGCCCATAGGCGAGCCTTGTGGCAGGAAGGCCAGCACAGAAACTGTCTGCCCTGCTTCTTTCCAAGTATTTCTCTCATTAGACAGAGAGACAGAGGAACAGGAGTTTCAGAAGCCTTAAAGGGGCCGGGCGCGGTGGTTCATGCCTGTAATCCCAGCACTTTGGGAGGCTGAGGCGGGTGGATCACGAGGTCAAGAGATCCAGACCATCCTGGTCAACAAGGTGAAACCCCGTCTCTACTAAAAATACAAAAATTAGCTGGGCATGGTGGTGCGCGCCTGTAGTCCCAGCTACTCGGGAGGCTGAGGCCGGAGAATTGCCTGAACCCAAGAGGCGAAGGTTGCGGTGAGCCGAGATGGTGCCATTGCACTCCAGTTTGGGTAACAACAGCGAAACTCCCTCTCAAAAAAAAAAAAAAAAAAAAAGAAGCCTTAAAGGGAGTCGTGGTAGCCACTAAGTTTCATTTACCTAGCACATCTGGGTCTCCTGCTGGGTGCCTCAAAGTTGTTAGCTCATTTGGTTTTCATGGCAACCGAGATATTTCCATTTTACAGTTACATGTTCAAAGAGGTTTACTAATTTCAGCTGGGGCTTGATAGCTAAGAAGTGAGTAAAACCCTAGGTTAGACCCGCTTCTGGAAACTTTATCTGCTTATATTTTCAGATCAACCTGTGAGGTCAGTGGCGGGTTGGTTTACCCTGTTTAACAGATGAGGAAACTGAGGCATAAGAAGGCAAGTGGCTTATCCCAGGTTGTACTACACAGTGGCTGAGCTCAGACTAGAACTCAGGTTTCCCCAGGGCTAGCCTTGGGCTCTTGATGGCAGAGGAGAAGTGAAATCATAGTCAGGGCATCCGGGTCAAAGGAGGCTGGCCCTGGGTGGCAGACCTTGGAAGTGAACATACCTGACTTCCAGGAGGAATGAATGGTAAGGGCAAATGCATCCTAACTGGGATTGGAGGCGCTGGGGGCTGTGGTGGTGGTGCACGGCGATTTGGGCTGACCCGATTCCCACCAAACTTCTGTGTTGTTGCTGGGGGGTCAGGAAAGCTTGGCCTCCTGCCAGGAGGGTTCAGGAATGGCATTTACAGCGCCTTTGTTTTTTCTTCACACTTACCTCACTGGCTGTGTTTGCAGTTTCAGCTTCCAGGCTGGAAGAAGGAACCCTATGGAGCAGAGACTAGCTCTGGGGTGAGGGGTGCAGAGAGAGACAGAACTTGTGGATCTCAGTTTTCTAGAAGTAAAAATTTAGCATGTGGGAGCTCAGGAATGTCCTTGGAAATGTTTCCAATTTATTTTTATTACAAAGCAATATCGAAAGAAAATGTGGGAAAAAACCCAGGAGCCTGAAAATAATCTATTACCTGCTTTCATTTTCTGTGTCTCCTTTTCAAAATCTTTATCCTTACATAAGCAATTTTCTATGACTAACTGTAATGTTGATTCACTGTGTATCAACAGTACTGTATCCTGCTTTTAAAATTTGTCACTATGAGAGTTTCCATTTCTTATAATAATCATTTGAAACATATGTGATACTTTCCTGGTGGATGAACCATGTTTTCCTTACCTATTCCTTTATTCTGGGGGCATTTAGATTGTAGCGTTTTACTATTTATAGACAATGAGACAACAATAATTTTTCTTTTAAAAAGAAATTAGTTTCCTAAGATAAATTCTCAGAGATTTGGATCTTGGATCAAAAAGATGGAAGATCTTTGTGTTTTTTTAATTGGCATTTGGAAATTATGACCAAATCCCTTAAAAGCAACTTCACGGGGTGTTTTTATAACTAGCAAACTGGCAGTGGGGGGCTGGGCATGGTATGGAGGGCTTTAGATATGGAAAGCCATCTCCTAAAGCCAGTGAGCAGGGCTCAGATTGTCCTGAGGAAGTGGACAAGTGCCTCCCATTTTCCTGCTGCTGTGATGAGGGTTCAGCCTGCTCAGTGCCAGTCCTGTCTCCCTCCCACACACCTGGGGAAGCTGGTTGCTGCACAGGCGGGGCATTTAGAGTTCAGTTGGCTTACCCCCTCTCCTTGCTTGTTCCATGAGAGAGACCCCAGAGAGGAGGTGTGGCTTTGTCACTCGAAGATTGATGTCATGTTTTTTCCTCTTTCTCAGAATTTGTTCCTGTTGAAGAGTGGCTCCTCTTCTAATTTCCAGACTCCTCGAGATTTTAGGAGTCTGGGTGAAATTCTCTACCTCTAAGGAGATACAGTACCTACTCCTTCCTCAAGGGCAAGCCCTCCATTGCTATGGATACCGAATCCACTTATTCTGGATATTCTTACTATTCAAGTCATTCGAAAAAGTCTCACAGACAAGGGTATGTAAGTTGTTCATTATTCCGCTTTTCCGTCTGGGGAAACCTACAGGTTGGTGGAGTTCTCTACACTCGCTTTTCACTGACTTGGTGCTGGAGGTTTGGTCTATTGGTGCGTGAGAAGCTGAGCTTTAAGAGCGTTTAAGGTTCTTGGGAGTAACTGTGCTACCAGCTTACATTTCACAGCCCCCGTTAGAGTGGATGACTGTAATTTCTCACAATGGATTTTAAATTAATGTTTCTTCCTGCAGTGGAAATGTTTTGCATTTCTGGGTATTTCATAGGTATCGGCGCTCCTGAAAGCTTTATGAAGAATGTAAATGGAAGATTTAAAAATGTCCATTGCTCGTTGCTTTTCACCTGAAATTGTTGACTCATTGTCCATTATGCCTTTGTCCTGAGGCTTATTTCGTGAACTGGTGAGATTGGCCTGGCACCTTATTTCTCTTAGACTAATCTTAAGGTGAACAAGTCTGGGTTTTGAAAACATTATCCTGGGTGATATTGGTCAAACTCCCCCTTTTCTGCAAGACAGACAGGTGTGCACTGATGTTCTTAGGGCCTGCTGTGCTACTCACCTGCAGAACGTTGGCTAAGTAGAAGAGCAAATGAACAAATAAAGAAATCAGTGAACAGATAGGTGGCGCTGTGCCAGTTAGGATTGTACTTGGTGAAATTGCAGTGCTGCCATTTACTTACCCTTCTCATCTGTGAAATGGGTACAGTAGTCCTCTCCTACAGGGCTGTTGAGAGGATTAAATGAGATGATGCATGTAAAACATGTAACACAGTACAAGCTGGAGGTCACTCGCCAGTGGTTGGATTAATGCTGAAGGCCTCGGCATTTCAGTACCATGTTCCAAGGTACCAGCTGGCTCCAATCCAGACGCCCAGCTCTGCACTGACTTGGGAACAGAGATTGTAGTGGTTTTTCCCTAACTGAGCTGTTCTCCATGTAAGCAGCCAAATGCAGAGTGAGATTTTGTTCTGTAAAACAGCAGTGAGCTACATACATCTAATTATTTACAAGCCCATCTGGGTCACTCACATAGAAAGAGGCTTGGGAGGGTATTCTCCCAGCCGCCAGGAGTGGTCCTCCACAGGGGGAGGCTTGGCAGAAGCTGAAGACTGATGGGAACTTTCATTTATGTTTTTGTACTTGTTCAGTTTTTTGACAAGTGTATGTTTTGTAATTTTTAGAAATGAGTGGAATAGAGTATAAAGGAAAGGTTCTCAAAGATGTGTGATGACATGAGAACACGGTCTGAGACCGCGTTATAAGAAACAGAATTCAAAATGCTGTTTGCCGTAATAGTTACATGTGTATGATGAGTGCTCACATGGTGAGGGTGCCTGTGTCTGAGTATAGGACAATGGTTGTATTTTCTTTTTAACTTGCCTAAATTTTTATGTCTTGCTCTTATCATAAAAATTTGGGGAAAACATGTCATGGAGCTTGTGCTGGAGTCCAGGTAAGGCTTTCAAATCAGGATGAGAAAAGGAAGGAGCTCTGGGGCAGGTGCCGCTGGACGGGGCCTGGGGTGACATGGCAGAGCCCAGCTCCAGAGACAGTCAGAAACCCTCTGGCCGTAATAATTTAATCATACATTTCAGCTAGTGGGTAAACTTACCAGATTTGGTTATGAAATACCAGAAATGGCTATTTTAAAGCACCAGTTTTTAGCCCTACCAATTCCCTTGTCAATGCCAGGCTTCCCTCTGGGTGCTTGGGTGAAGAAAGGAGGTTGGCTTGCAGTATTCTTTGTGGGAACCATCTCTGGCCTCTTTCATCTACACTCAAGTTCTGACTTTCACGCTTCGGGGCCCATCGCTACGCTCTGCTATTTCCTTAGGCCTCTTGGGGTCCCCAGAAATTGATATTCTAGTGCCCTTGTGGTGACTCAAAGAGACTGTAACTTCCAATTAAAACAACATGCAGAACTTCTAATGCATTCTTGGACCCATGTGGAAAGTACTTGGCAAATGTTAATACAAGCTGAGACTTTTAATCAATTATTCAAAAAATGTTCCTAGATATTTACTCTGAGAAAAGCTCTGAGAGAGGAGATGAGCCTTAGAGATTTGTAGTGCACTCCATGGGTTCTTTAAAAACGCCACGACCACCTACCCGTGGCGGATTCTCAGCTGATGGCAGTGCAGGGCACAGCAGCTGTGGGCTGAGGGGTGCTGTCCCTGGAGAGCATGGGCTGTGGTCTACTTTGCTGGGGCCTGAAGAAAGTTTAGCAGTAGAGTGTATGAGATGGGCATGAGAACATGCACTAGGCCCAGCCAAGAGTGTTTTGCCCCAGGAGTGTCCCTGTGAAGGCTGCCCTGCTCAGAGGTTTGTTGGGAACCTGAATGGAAGGGTAGGAAGGGGCGGGGGGTTGGGGGGGACGCGGGAACCATGCTCTATAGTAATTTTAATCAGACTCCAACTCAGGGAGGAATAATGAAATGCACCACACTTGATATGCCTGATGACACCGTGATCATCTTAGAAGACTGGCCAGGTTCCAAGCAGATGATAAGTGACTCTTTCCTAACAAAGAGGTCAGTGGCCTGGTTTTGTGATGCTTGCAGTCTCCAGAGGGTGTCCAGTTAACTTGCTGGGAGAATAGTGTGGACTCTTGCTGGCCCCACCTGACCTTTGGGCTTGGAGCACAAGGTCCCTGATTTAAACACAGCAGCTGCCAGCCATGTTAACTGCTTTGGGGGTGTCTCCTAGGCCCCTCATAGCCATTATCTTGTATTCTCACAGCAGTCCCAGAATGATGGGAGGTCGTAGCCCCATTTACAGGTGATGAAATAGAAGCACAGAGGGCAACGCTATTTGTCTAAACTTATAAAGTTAGTAGGTGCCCTCAGCAGATTTCGGGCCCACCTTGTTTCTTTAGAAGGGAAATGCTACTTTTGGAAAGGGAAATGAAGTGTGACTCATGTGGCTAATGTGCTGAAATACACACGAGGGCTGTTGGGGCAGTGGAGGAATTGGTGCTTTTGTTCCAAGACTGCTTCAGAGTCTGTGTGCCCTGCGCCCAGCCCTCCTACCCCGTCACAGCCAAGAGGAAGCAGCCAGCTGGGCCCCAGTAGCCAGCAGAGAGAAAGGGCAGGTCGTGGGTGGTGGGAGAGAAGGAAAGGGAGGAGTAACCGGTGGGGCCAGCTTTCCCCAAATAGAAATAGGCAAACAGCAGAAACAGGACTAAATAATCTTCCCAGGAAATGCTGACTGTAAGTGGGAACAGTGGTAATTACAGGGGTTCTGGCTGGAACGAGGAGGGTGACAGCAGCCCCCAAGGGCTTAGCTCTAGAAGCACCTAAACAGATGCATTTACTCACACACGTGTGGTGCAGACACATGCCCGGCTGCCTACATGCCACCACTTGCTCTTCCTGCCCCCTCACACACACAGATTGACTTATCTTTACTCATACAGCAGATGTTGCATGCAGACAGATTCAGAGATAAAGATACAAAGAAAAACCCTCCTAGTTGACACAGCAGCCCAGCAAAGGCACAGAAGGGATCCAGACCACTGAGTCAGAGTTGGAAAAACACACAAGTGTACATGTGTTTGCAACACACCTTCCTGTGGCTTGGCAGCCTGTTTGCTCCCCTGGTCTCCCATTTCCATACTCTTAGACGCCATGAACGGATTGTCTTCATTATTGGGGAACCCTCTCTAGACAGCGCTTGGCAACCATAGGTTTCCCCTGGAGTTATGGCATCTGGTGCTACAGGGGTGAGCATTTGAGTACATGTTACAGTGAGGTGGCCACACTGTGACTCGCAGTTCTGCAGACTGGGAAGCACTGAATGGCAGGATTTTTGTAGAGTGTCACTGTGAAGCCCTGGCTTGGCTCAGAGACCTTCGTAGAGCAGTAATTGGGGACCAGTGATTTCTGCTAACGTTTCTCTAATTTTCTAATAATTTTTTAAAAATAAAAGCTGTGTGGCAGGTTCTGCTCCTTTGGTGGCATGACCAGTACCTGGCGCAGTGCTGGTGCTGAGCTGACGGAAAGTGCGTCACCTTCACCTCTCACCTGACAGTGGGTGAAAGGCTTTCGGCTCAGGGTGTCCCTCAGTCATGACTGCACGCTGTCCTGAGCCTTTCTCCCAAATTCCTCCACTTCTTAATAAAGCGGCGCGGTGTATTGTAACACTGTGCAGCTGAGCATTATACTCATGGCTCCCATTATCAAGTCCCTGCTGTATACAGGGCATTTCACAAAGAGGCAGACTTCCAAGCAGTCACCCAACAACCTCCTTCCAGGAGCATTTGGCAAGAGAATCTTGGGGCAAGTTTCCTTTACCACCTGCAGTCACCTCGGTTGCTAGAGAAAATGTTGACTTCTGCTGTCTCCCTTCCAGAAAATTATTTGAGAGTGGGGCCAAGAAATCTGCACTTGAGTCCATAACCAGGGTAGTTCTTCTGTACACTTTTTTACGTTTAAGAAGTGTTTAAAGTTTAAGACACACTGGTTAGGGTTTTGGGATCTGGGGACTGAGAAACCTTCCTTGGGTTATCAGACAATAAGTTCTTCTCTGGTTTCCCTCGAGTGTTACCAGGGGAACTGTTGGACAGTTATTTCACATTTGGGTGCTCCTGGGCCCTTTAAGAGCCAGGCTGGGAGGGCTGATGATGGGAGCCCTGGCTGCTGAGCGAGGCTGTTTCCACCCCTGGGTGGCTCCCCACCTGCTTTCTGCCCTGGTAGGGTTCAGGATCCGGGAACTGGCTCTCAGTGAAAGAATTTTGATTTCCAGTGGAATTTGTGCTGTCACAAGATTTGACCCATGGGACCAGTGAATAGATAGATGGGTTAGGTGAGCATGTGACTGGGCTGGTGGCCGAGAGAGTGATAAATGTGAGAGCAGTCGGGAGAAGTGGAAATGGATTAAGATAGAAGAGGGGCCGTGTCCATCTGGCCCAAGGCAGGGCCGGGTGAAGCAGCCATTCTAGACTTATTCTGAGGTTAGTTCTAAAACTGACCAAACACAAGGAAAGTCTCTCCCAAACTGTTTATTGTTTCTCACAGTGGGTGCCTTTTGAAGTGATTGTATTTGACAGCCCAGAGTGTTGGGCACACAGCTCTGTGCTATCTAAGGTCGCGGTCCAATTGTGACTCCTAGCAGTAGCTTCAAAGGCATATTTCATAGCTCTCCTAGTTTTAAAGTATAAGGGTGTGAGAATGAGCTTGAGGAATATTTATGCCATAAAATCTTCGTGCACCATAGTGGGTTTGAATAGAAGTGGTGGCAACAGACCCGAATTCAGGTCTGCCACTTACTCTAATACTACTTTGGGAAGTAACTTAAACTCTGTGAGCCTCAGTTTCCTTGTCTGTAAAATGAAGACAATAATATTAGCTTCATAGGATTATTATTAGGATTGAATGAAATTAATATAGTGAAGCATTCAGCAAAGTGCTCTATAAATTCTGTAAGTTCTATAAAATTCCGTTTACCCAGAAATGCATCTAACAATGCCAATTACCTCATATCCAGGGTAGCTTTTCTCGACACTTGTGTTTAAAGTTTAAGACACACTGGTTAGGGTTTTGGGCTCTGGAGAATGGTGAGGTAGGATGTGAGGTAATTGGCATTGATAGATGTATCTCTGGGTATACAACCAAGTTCTCTGCTTATTTGGCTGTTTCCCTAGCTGCCTTGTTAAAACAAAATACCTGAGTTGACCAGAACACCTCTATTTTTAGAGTCTAACTTAGCAGTTGTATTAGTCTGTTCTTGCATTGCCATAAAGAAATACCTGGCTGGGCGCAGTGGCTCGTGCCTGTAATCCCAGCACTTTGGGAGGCTGAGGTGGTCTGATCACGAGGTCAGGAGATCGAGACCATCCTGGCCAACATGGTGAAACCCCATCTCTACTAAAAATGTAAAAAAATTAGCTAGGCATGCTGATGTATGCCTGTAATCCCAACTATGTGGGAGGCTGAGGCACAAGAATTGCTTGAACCAGGGAGTAGGAGGTTTCAGTAAGCCGAGATTGCCCCACTGCACTCCAGCCTGGTGATAGAGCGAGACTCCATCTCAAAAAAAAAAAAAAAAAAAAAAGAAATACCTGAGACCTTCATAAATAAATGAGGTTTAACTGGCTCACGGTTCTGCAGGCTTTACAGGAAGCATGGTGCTGACAGTGACTTGGCTTCTAGAGAGGCCTCAGGAGGCTCACAGTCGTGGTAGAAGACGAAGGGGGAGCAGGCACCTCACATGGTGAAAGCGGCAGCAAGAGCTGGGAGAGGAGGTGCCACACACTTTAAAAAATCAGATCTCACAAAAATTCCCTCACTATTGTGAAGGTAGCACCAAACCATGTTTACTCTGGGCAAACATGAGGGGTTCATCACCATGATCCAGACACCTCCCACCAGGCCCCTCCTCCAGCATTGGGGGTTACAATTCAGCAGGAGATTTGGGTGGGGACACCTAAATCAGCAATAGATTGTAATTATAAGTTGTGCTCTAGGGATAGAGTTGTCATCAAAAGATTCCCTTGGCCACGGAAGCCTCCTGGCTCTTTGAAGGAATCAATCAGTGCTTATCCCAGGGAGATAATGATGAGGTCAAAATCTGCATTTTCTTAAGCTAAGTAGTAGGTTAACAGAAGATATGTCGTGTGTTAATAGCTCTACTTACATCTCTTTCTCCGGGGTATATGCACTCTGTGTCACTAAGCGAAGTCACCATTCTTTGACATTGGCTAATGGTCATAGCAATTACAGCCACCGTATGTTAACACTTACTCCACATCCTTGTACTGAGCACTACTTACATTAGGTGGTGGTGTCACCATTTCATAAAGAAACTGAGGTTTTCACAGATTGAATAACTTGTGCACAATCACACATCTGGTAGGGCGGAACCAAGATCTCTGTCTCCAAAATCTGCTTCTGTCCTGCCCGGGAGACCTTGGCAATGAGGGTGAGTGATTGTAGGAAGCAGGGCTGATGTCAAGGAGGCTGTGGGGGCAGGAGGCTGAGGGAACTCACTGACCCTTGAGAAGTCCTTAGGTGGCCACAAAAGGAACCACAGTGATTGGTTCCTTTTGGAATTTCATGAATGACCCCCAGGCAGGATTCTTACAATCACCCTGGAAGACCACCCTGGAAGTTCCTGTGGGGTAAAATGATGCAGCAGACTGCTTTCTTCAGGAGGCCTGAAATCCTCCCCGAACACACACACACACACACACATACACACACACACACACACCCTCCACAACTCTTGGTGCCTTTTGCCCTAGCTTGTTTGTTTCTGTGGTTGTCTTCAAGTTCAGCTAGAACCTATGGGAATGACTTAGTTTTGAACTCGTAAGAATGAGAAGTACACAATTCAACCAAATCAAACCAGTAATTATTACAGGAAGGTGTAACTAGCTACAGAAATTCTAAAATTACAATTTTAGTCTTTGAAAAAAATATCGCTGTTGATAAAGGAAGAGTGACTCTTTGTTTTGGGTCTTGGAATGGCAGAAGGAAAATATTAAGGAGGCAGTAAAAATCTGTGTACCCCTTGAAGAGTGGTGAGGATGTACGTGTTTTGATGCTGTGTGTGCATTTGCGTGTGCACGTGGGCCCATGTATATGTGTGTAGAATTTTCCTAAGTTCAAAATGATACTTACATTTCTGTGAACCCAGAGAGTTAATTAACATGGCATAAATGTGCTAGCTCATTGTTGTTTTTCAGGGAGAGAACTAGAGAGAGACACAAATCACCCCGGAGTAAAGATGGCAGAGGGTCAGAAAAGTCTGTCACCATTCAAGCTCCCACTGGAGAGCCCCTGTTGGCAAACGATTCCACCCGGACAGAGGAAGTTCAGGTAACGATCGACGGCCGTCTGTAAGCACACTGCCACGTGGCCAAGACTCCTTTCTGTAAATGTTTTCCTAAGTCTTGTTGCAGTAGGTTCTCTTGGGTTTCTGTCTTTATTTTCCTAGCATGCTAATTAGTTTATCTACGTCCTCTGGTCTCTTGTTGGTCTAAGAACAGCCTGTCCTGCCCTTTGGTAGCTTGGGGATTCTTCTGAAGTATGATTGGTTGGCCTGCTCTGCATGGTGTGAAAAGAAGCCAGCCAGGTTGACGACAGGGAAGGGAAGGGAAAAGCTGAAGTCTCCCACAACTCATTTCAAAATGGAACAGTATAAGAAGGAGAAGGAAACCCAGAAAACCTACGTAGTGTTAAGAAGAGGGAAAAACGTGGGGCAGCCCAGACTGAAACATTACTACTAGATCTATGCAGTAAATCAGAGGCTGCACACACGGATACCTGGTAGAGGAACATAAGTTAATTAAGGAGGCCCTGGGTCAACAAGAGGGGGCAAAAATATCTCAAACAAGCTTTGGGTTAACAGCAGTCTCTGCAGTGCCTCAGTGTCACTGCTGTTGTGTGCAGTGAAGGAGCCTGTGGCAAACTGAAGAATGCACTTTCTCTGCAAAGGAAACAGCAGCTTTGCAGCTCCAGACACCTACTCTGCTCAGGAATTCAAGGATTCAGTGTTTAAGCTGGAGGGCCAGGCGCGGTGGCTCACACCTGTAATCCCAGCCCTTTGGGAGGCGGGTGGATCACGAGGTCAAGAGATCCAGACCATCCTGGTCAACAAGGTGAAACCCCATCTCTACTAAAAATACGAAAATTAGCTGGGCATGGTGGCGCTTGCCTGTAATCCCAGCTACTCGGGAGGCTGAGGCAGGAGAATTGCTTGAACCCAGGAAGCGGAGGTTGCAGTGAGCCGAGATTGTGCCATTGCACTCCAGTCTGGGTAACAACAGCAAAATTCCGTCTCAAAAAAAAAAAAGAAAAAGAAAAGCTAATTTTCTTTTTTATATTTTATATTATTTTTGAAATATACTTCATTTTTTAAAACATTGAGTGGGTTCTTCTCGAGGTTCCAACTGGCAGCCCATCTGATTTAAATAAACATCTGAACTATACACAGAAACATGTTTGCACACCCTCTGCACATCCTGAAATATATATACACATGTCCAGCCTTGCCCCTCATAAACAAAGCAGCGTATGATACACAGCTGTAAAGATAGATGTAGGACTGTAGATAAGCATAAATCTGTACATACCTCTGCGTACACACAGGTAAGCATTTATAATCAGATAGATGGACTTGGAATTCCTAGGAGCACACAAGGTGCTCTTGGGACACAAAGCGACAGTTGTGGGTTGAACATGGGCTTCATTGAGCAGTGAGCAAATGTCTTTAGTGCTGCCTGCTTTGGCTGTGGGGTGGCTGGTGGTTGGATGGGGCCAGTCCTAGGACTGGGTCACCCTGGAGCGTGGCGGGGGGGGCGGTCAGTTTCCTCCTGGATGTGCATTCAGAGGTGCTGGTGGCCTACAATGAGGGCGCTGCTTTCTCCACATCTCCTCTGCACCTCATAGCTGAGAACTACTTTGGGAAGCTGTTGGTGCTGCTCCAGGATAATCTGGTGAGAAAGGCATTGAGATGGGTGTTTGGAGGCTGTATTTCTCAGTAGCTCCGTTACCTTGAGCAGTCACAGCCTTTGTAGGCCTCAGTTTCTTTATGGAAATCTAGGGGTTTTGATGAAAGAATCCTAGGTCCTTTTTCTTCTAAGAACCTCAAGCTTGACAGGACCCTTTGTACATGTACATTTTTTAGGCATGCATGTGCACCCCGGGAAATTCTCTTGGGCCCTTCCTAGTCAATCTCTGCCTCACCCTCGCCTCTCCAAGGCAACCACTGTGTTGATTTCTATCACTGTAGATTAATTTTTGCCTGTTTTTGAATTTAATATAATTAGAATCATATGGTCTGTCTCCCTCACACCCACCACCCCGCTCAGCATAATGATTTTGAGATTTATCCATGTTTTGGTTTGTTTCAACAGCTTATTTTTTTTACTTTTGCTGAATGGTATTCCATTGTATCAGTGTACCACAATATATTATCCATTCTCTTAGTCGATGGACATGTGGGTTGTACCATTTTGGCTGTTATGAACATTCTTCTTGTTGTCTGTTGTTGGATATATCTTTTCTTTTTCTTTCTTTCTTTTTTTTTTTTTTCTCTTGAGACACAGTCTTGCTTTCTTGTCCAGGCTGGAGTCCAGGGACGCAGTCTCAGCTCATTGAAGTCTCCACCTCTGGGGTTCAAACAATTCTCTTGCCTCAGCCTCCTGAGTAGCTGGGATTACAAGCATACACCACCATGCCCGGCTCATTTTGTATTTTTAGTAAAGACAGGGTTTCATTATGTTGGCCAGGCTGGTCTCAAACTCCTGACCTCAGGTGATTTGCCTACCTTGGCCTTCCAAAGTGCTAGGATTATAGGCGTGAGCCACTGCGCCCAGCTGGATGTATGTTTTTATTAATTTTTGGATAAAACGTGAGAGTGGAATTGCTGGGCCATAGAGTTAAGCGTATATTTAAATTTATGTGAAACAGCCAGAGTGGTTTTCCAGAGGCACTGTACCATGGTCCACGTCCACCAGCGGTGTCTGAGAGTCCTGGCTGCCTCTGGCCATCATCTTAAATAGGAATTTCGTGTATGTGATCCGTCTAACTTTCCAAGTTGAAGGATTATTGGTTCATAGGACTGAGACCTTCACCACCACCACTTCTTACCATTGCCCATACATTTCATAAATCATGTTTTTTTTGGTTATTACTAGATTTGGGATTATTTGGTTATGAGCGAAATCTGTCTTGCTGATTTAGCTGCCAACTTGGACTAGCTTTTTCTTTTTTTTTTTTTTTTTTTTTTGAGACGGAGTTTCGCTCTTGTTACCCAGGCTGGAGTGCAATGGTGGGATCTTGGCTCACCGCAACCTCCGCCTTCTGAGTTCAAACAATTCTCCTGCCTCAGCCTCCTGAGTAGCTGGGATTACAGGCACACACCACCGTGCCCAGCTAATTTTTTTTTGTATTTTTAGTAGAGACGGGGTTTCACCATGTTGACCAGGCTGGTCTCAATCTCTTGACCTCGTGATCCACCCGCCTTGGCCTCCCAAAGTGCTGGGATTACAGGCGTGAGCCACCGCGCCAGGCCCTGGACTAGCTTTTTCTGAGTTGGTGTCCTAATTTCACCTACTTTATCACTGCATCTGACTGTTTTTTCCAGGTGAAAGGATACATATGGGTCTCTGAGGCAAAACCTCTTTGGCCCCTGTGTCTCTTGTTGCTCCATTATTATTGCCAGTTGTTTTTAAACACCAAAATCCTTTGAAATTCCATCACCTGGATCTTGCTAAATGAATAGACTAATTGCTCTAACTAGCAACTGCCTAGAAGTTTAAAAAGAGAGGAAGCTGGAAAGTAAAAGATACATCATAATAATCCTGGTTATTTCTGTGCCCTTGATGTTTAGTTCATCATGAAAACATGTTTTAGAAAGAACTTTTAAGCCAATCTGGCCACAAATGGATTCTTGGATTTGCTTACATTGGTGCATGAGAAATATTATTAAAGGGTGCTTGACACCGATACCTGTTAGGTGGGCCTTGTGAACATCATAGGAGATTTAAAACGTGGGTCCTGGCTGTAGGTAAGTTTGGTTCTGTGTAGTGGTGTGAGTTCCCTTGCTATGCCCTTCGCTCTTCTGGGCTGCTGGAGGGTGCGGTACTACTCCCACCTCTGGAAGCTGGACTTAGTAAGCCTTTCTAACCCAGTGTGAATTGGAAAGAAAATGCAGGTGGTTTATCTCTATAGATGAGCTCTCACAAGATTAGTCTAACACCTGGATTGTGCATTGCAGGGCAAACAGCTCCAGGCCCACAGAGCCTCTCAAGGCTTTTCAGCATAGGGGATGATAATCAATGTTATGTCAATGAATCACCCAAACAGACTGTTCACATTATGTTTTCTCTGTGTGAAAAGGTGAATACCTCATACATTTTGAACATTTCAATGAAAATTGTTTGAGTTAAAAAGTTCTAATATTTAAAGAGTTAAGCTTTCATTTTTCTGGAAGCCTTTGTGAATAGGGCTGGGTCGATGTTCACTGCTCTTTGAAGCTTTTACAAATGACTTGCTTTGTGTCACCCTCAGTGTCTTCTCCCCACCAGGATGACAACTGGGGAGAGACCACCACGGCCATCACAGGCACCTCGGAGCACAGCATATCCCAAGAGGACATTGCCAGGATCAGCAAGGACATGGAGGACAGCGTGGGGCTGGATTGCAAACGCTACCTGGGCCTCACCGTCGCCTCCGTTCTTGGACTTCTGGTCTTCCTCACCCCTATCGCCTTCATCCTGTTACCTCCGATCCTGTGGAGGGATGAGCTGGAGCCTTGTGGCACAATTTGTGAGGGGCTCTTTATCTCCGTGGCATTCAAACTCCTCATTCTGCTTATAGGGACCTGGGCGCTTTTCTTCCGCAAGCGGAGAGCTGACATGCCACGGGTGTTTGTGTTCCGTGCCCTTTTGCTGGTCCTTATCTTTCTCTTCGTGGTTTCCTATTGGCTTTTTTACGGGGTCCGCATTTTGGACTCTCGGGACCGGAATTACCAGGGCATTGTGCAATATGCAGTCTCCCTCGTGGATGCCCTCCTCTTCATCCATTACCTGGCCATCGTCCTGCTGGAGCTCAGGCAGCTGCAGCCCATGTTCACGCTGCAGGTAGTCCGCTCCACCGACGGCGAGTCCCGCTTCTACAGCCTGGGACACCTGAGGTAAGAGGCAACACCCGGGGGGAAGAAAGGACGGCTGCCGCCTTGCTGGGAAACAGCTGCTCTGTATCCCATGAGGGGTGGTGACAGATGCCAAGTGCGAGGACCAGGGTAGGACTCTTTTCTGGTTTGGGAAGAGGAGATGCAAGGGTAGGGAGGGTCTCCATGTTCACTGAGCTTCTGGACTTCTGGATGGCGCAGGGCGGTTGCTGGCTCTCACCCGGGTTGAGGTTTTGCTGGGCCTGTTCTCAGAGTTGCTGGCAGCTCCCAGAAATGACGGAGAAAGGAGACACATAGTGATGGCTGCCTGCTTTGATGCCAAAATTGGCCTATGGGCAATGGATAAAGTGACCAGCGGCTCCCTTTTGTCAAGAATGTGGTATCTGGTTTGCCATGTCGTCCCAGTGAAATCATTAATTGTTCCTTTTTTCCTGCTCTCAGAGGCCTGGTTTGCGCAGAATTAAATGGTCATCCTAGGGACCCTCCAGTGAAGAATCAAGTGCAGGTTAGAGACTCCAATGTGTAAGCCTTGAGCGTTTTGAAAATTGTATGCCCGAGAAAAAGTTAGAAATCAGTTGGGTTGTCATACGTTAAATCTCCGCATAAAATCTTATTATTTTATGGTTAAGTAAGAGTGATTACCATCATTTTATTTGCTTCAAGGTACGTACGTTATATAGGTTGTGTATTTAGTCTTCATAGAACCCTGTGACCTAGGTATTATTAATCCCTGTGTCACAGATGAAGAAACTGGGGTTTAGAGGATTTAAGTAATTTGCACAAAAACGTGGCTGGCCTCATTCAGGACTCACTCAGATGAGGCCAGGGTGAGTAAACGCCCTCATAATGGCATCTCTCACTTTGTACGTTAGTGGCCTATTTTTCCATTTGTTTTCTTCCACAGACTGTGAACTCCCTGAGGCCAGGGGCTGCTCTTATACCTCATGACATCCTCAGTGCCTGGCATGGAGCATGGCACACAGTTGGTACTGAGAGGCTCTCTGGGTGAATGCAGAGCTTGGGATATCTGACTTCAAAGCCTTTGCCCTCTCCCAGTCTCTCTGCCTCCCTAGGCAGTATATGCTTATGTGTTTAGCCTGCTTGGCACAGAGTTGGCACTTAGTTCATTGTAGCTATTACTGCTGTGATAGTGTAGCTGGCAGAGCAGCCAAGATCAACAAGGGCACGCCTTAGTGGGTATCAGAACAATCGGCTTTGTCATAGATTTGACTGGGCTGCAGGGAGGTGGCTTGGCCTGTGTTTGGAGTGAGGCCACACTGCCAAACCGTCTTCATGTTGGCATGTACAACCTTTCATTCCTCTGGTTTGGCTTGTGCCACGAGGATGGGATGATTAGTGTTCGAGTTTACTGCTGCCCTAACCGATCCTTGGTGGAAACGGGTGTCCACGTCACGTGTCTGTGCATCAAAAGTCTGGTGTTTTGAGTCCTTCACAGATGCCTGTAGGGCTCTGAAGACAAGCAGGTCACTGCTTTGCTGCATGTTCATCTCAGAAGGATTTCTTTCCCATGTTTGGTGTTGGGGAATGACCAGCAGATTTGTGTTAAACACACCAGGCTGGCTGCCTTCAGAACTCTGTCTCAGCACCTGTGGCGCTCACAGTCACTTGGACAGAGACCAATGCACGGCTCTGTGGTGGACAGGTGCAGAAACAGGCCTGGGGGTATAGGGGATAGGAACACAGGAGGACAGGGAATTTCAGATTGTGGCAGCAATAAAGCCGAGGAGGAGACAGTCTGTCTCAGAACAGGTTTTGCTGCGGTTAAAGTGGTAGAGAAAAATCCAGCAGTGGTCACAGCGGAGATGAGTGATATTTGGGACTCTGTATATGTAAGTAGCCAAGACACTGGCCAGGAGTGAGGTCTGTGGTGGTTTTGTTTTGTGGTCCTCAGCCTTAGTTGGTGTGAATTCCACCTGCGTAGGTGGGAAAGGGCAGGGCATCTTCTTACCGCAAGTCATCCAGGGTGGTGGGCCTGACTTGCCCCCATGGGCTCCCACAGCTCCTCCCTGTAAGACTGGTTGAGCTGCACACTGCATCTGAGTGGGGTGGAGAGGGGACAAACCAAACAGCATGTGGCGTGCTCAGGAAACTGAATTAGCAGCAGCCTCGCACCACACAGCTCTGCTGGTCAGGGCAGAACTGGATGGGAGAAGCCAGACTGTGCTGTCTGGCTCCCAGGCTTGCTACAAACCTCTCAGTCTGTTCTCACCATGTCCAACAAGTGTCCAGGCTTTCAAAAACTCAAGTCAGTCACCGCAGCTCCCCGGGGAGACCTGGAAGGTGGCAAGTGCCCGGCAGGCCTGGGGAGAGCTTTCTGAGGGGGTCCCCAGCATCATCCCTTCAGCTTCTCTTTAAGGCCATTGGTTTTCCTCCTCTCCCTGCCTTTAATAAGGCCCGCTTTGTCCCTCTCATGGAGACCCTGGGTTAGGGAGTGGAAAGAATGGCTGGGGAAGGAGCGACGTCTTTATTGACAAATGGAGCCCTCAGGCAGGGCCAGATGCCCAAGTGACAGCCAGTCTGCCAGAGCTGGAGCAGGCTTGGCACCTTTCCTCCTGGCATTGTGTGGGCCTGGTCACCCACCGATCCTTGGGCTAAATCTGGTCTGAACCCAGCAGTGGCTGGAAGAGTTACTGGGCCAGAAATACAACTTCTAAGGCCCTTTGTAAAGTGTAGAAACAGGCAGGAGGGAAGAGGGAGCGGGAACAGACAAAGCGAGCTTCAGAGATCAGAATAGCAGGTCTCCATCAGACCCAGCAGAATCACAGGCTGTCGGCTCTCCCTTTATGTAAAGCCTTCAGCGTGGCAGCAACCTATCGGGCTTAGGTGCCAAGCGATGGTGAGTTCTTTTTTATGTTTTCAAAGATGATTTTATCGAATTGACTGAACTATTTTTGAGAGTTGTCAAAAGAATGCCTACTCTTTAGTTTCTTAAAGAAAATAGGTTTCTCGTTAGTTCATCAAAGGCACTTGCTGGTGGCCCTGCTTGTGGGAAGGAATGAGGTTTGGGGCTTATTTGAAAACTTTCAAAAATATAAAAAGTTGTTGCAGAAAGTAAGATACTGTAAATAGACGGAGATGCTTCCTAACCTCCGCCCAGTGCCCTAGGAGTTACAGAAAGCTTTTCATAGGTTTGGACTCATTTACCACCCTTGCTGCCCTGTCAGAGGTCAGAGCAGGTGGCGTCAAGGTGTCCCCTTTTACAGTTGAGGTCCCCAAGCCCTAGAGTACGGGACGGCTCAAAGTCACAGGGGAACAGCACCTTCCTGTGCATCACACCCCTTACCCCACCACACTCTCTGCAGCGTCCTGCGGTCTCACATGGTCGCTTTGTGATTTTCCATACACATCTTTCTTGTCACTTTTGTTGGCCCCATTCTCACAATGAGTTGCTAACTTTTCCGAGATTTTACCAGAGACTAATTTCTTTTGATATTCCTTTATTTGAGGAGAAACCTGGAAGAATAGAAACAAAATAAATAGAGACTAAAAAATGGCATTCAATTATCTTAACAATTTCTCAGTTTTGAAATCTCTAAAGGGAAATACTGTGAATACTCGGACACAGACACAAGTGTAAGTGACTGGTTGAATGTGAAATCGTAGAACGACGGAGACAAATAAAACCTTAACAATAAACAATTACGTAGTCTTTACTGGGTGCCAGGTACCTTCTAGTCTTTTAACATGCAACCCAGTTTTCACAACGGTCATGTGAGGTGGTAGGTTCTGGTAGCCTCCTTTTCAGATGAGCAGACTGAGGCACGGGAGAGTTGAGTAAGTCCAAGGACCCACACTTTGTAATGGTGGGATCCAGGATTTGAGCCTAGGCTCTCTGGTTCCAGAATGATCTCACCCATTTCACTATTACTACCCCTGAAGAGATAGGTTCATGTTCACATCACTGCTTTAGGAGCATAGGTACAAACCTGGAAGCACTTTTTGAGTGTTTCCCACGTGCCAGCCTGTGGACTAGCTGTTTTTGCATACATTATCGTATTTCATTTAACACAGAGCTTAGGGCTGGAACAGAGAGAATGTGGAGGACTGTCAAGATGGCTTGCACTCTGAGGCTCATTCCTTAGCTCCACTGGTTAGTTTATTCCCTCAGTTGACAGATTCTGGTCCTGAAAGTCATAGCAGTAGGTTTGAGCCTTTCTTTGGTCAGACCCTTTTAACCTCCTGTACTTCACATGTCTCAAAGAAAACATCTTTTATCTGTTGTTGTGTAACAACTCCCCCACCACTTAGTAGCTTAAAACAACCAATCTGGTATTTCTCACAGTTCTGCAGCACGGATTGGGCTCAGCCAGGAGGTTGTTCAGCTGATCCCGGGTGATTATACTCACATGGCGAGTGAGCCAAGGCTGACTTTCTTTTTCTGTGTGTTCTCCCCTCCTTCTAGTGGCCTCTCCTTGTCAATTCCTTATTAGGGTTGCTAGATTCCTTAAATTGCAGCTCAGGGATCCCAGGAGCACAAAAGCAGAAGCTCCCAGGCCTTTTAAGGCCAGGGCCTGGAATTGGCCCAGTATTATTTCTACTGCATTCTCTTGGTGAAAGCAAGCCACAGCCCTATCCCACATTTAAGGAGAGAAGACGACACAAGACAGAGACTACTAGGATGTCGAGTTCAACGTAGCAGATCCCCACAACCACCTTAGGCTCTCGTTCTCAGTCTGTTTATTCTTATTTTGCATATAGTTCCAACAAATTTAATTATTGATTTCTACACCTTAAAAAGTCCAGAAGTAACATATTTTGAGGGGAAAAAAGAGTTGCTTTAAGGAGGCTTATGAAAATCAATGAAAAATGATAGCTGGTAGTCATCAACAAGGAGAGAGACTTAGAAACCACAAAAGCAGATAAGACTCAGCACTCTGGGAAAGTTTCCACAGTGACCCCATTCTGTAGGATATTTGTATTGCTGAAGCTCCATTGTGCCTAATTCAGCCAGCAGGTTTTAACTGTTTGGGTTTTTAAGCTTC